GGGTCTCACTTCACCTATTCCCAGCTTTCTGAAAATGGACATTGGCATTAGATTAATGCTCGCCCCCAAGTCGCACAAAGCTTTTCCGATGTATTGATCTCCAATGGAGCACGGTATGGTGAAGCTACCAGGATCCTTCAACTTGGGCGGCAGCCGATTCTTCAAGATTGCACTGCATTCTTCGGTTAGTGCCACCGTCTCAAATTCACCTAGCCTTCGTTTCTTTGTGAGGATATCCTTCATGAACTTAACGTAACTCGGCATTTGCTCCAATGCCTCCACGAGTGGAATGTTGATATGAAGCTGTTTCAGCACGTCAAGGAATCTCCTGAATTGCTTATCTTGTTTTTGATTCTGAAATCTCTGTGGAAATGGGGGTGGAGGTCTCTCTGGTTTGTTTTGCTTCAGCTTTGCTGTAGCATCCTGGTCGACCACATCCTGTTCTGATTCAGCTGGTGGTTGCTGGACTTCTTGGGTTTGGATCGAAGAGTGCTTTGTTGCTGCAGTCTGTCGAGTTGGTTGTTCAATTTCTCTACCATTCCGAAGTGTGATAGCTTTGCAATGCTCCTTACACTGTTCCTTACCATCTCTTCTTGGGTTTTCCGTATCGCTCGGAAGCGATCCTTGGGGTCTATTACTGAGAACATTAGCCAACTGCCCCACTTGATTTTCCAAGGTCCTCAACGATGCAGCTTGACTCTGGAGGAGAGCTGCTTGACCCTGAATGAGTGAGTCATTCCTTGCCATGTACTCTTTAAGTAATGCCTCCATAGGGGTTGATGACGCTTGATGTGGCTGCCTCTGATTTGATTGCTCTGGTGGCTGTCTTTGATGTTTATGTTGATGAAATCCTGGTGGATATACTGGTTTGCTAGGCCCTGGCATCGAACTAGCTTCTTGATTCGACCAAGAAAAATTCAGATGCTACTTCCACCCCTGGTTATATGAGTTGGAGTAAGGGTTGTTATTCCGGTTAAAGTTGTTCACATAGCAAACCGACTCGGGGTTGGATGGGCAATTTTCAAATAAGTGTTCAGCTCCACAGTAGACACAAGTTAAGCAACTGGGGGCTGCTTCCACCCCTGGTTATATGAGTTGGAATAAGGGTTGTTATTCCGGTTAGAGTTGTTCACATAGCAAACCGACTCGGGGTTGGATGGGCAATTTTCAAATGAGTGCTCAGCTCCACAGTAGACACAAGTTAATGCAACTGGGGTTGCTGCATTAGCTGGAGCAGCCACATTTAGAGACTTCAAAATATTGGAAAGAGAAGAAACTTGAGCAGTCAACGCAGTCACCGCATTACTTCATGAATTCCTGCCACTCGTCTCCCTGCAGAAACTCTTTCGGTGGGCCACTGGTAATTGTTGTTGGACATTCTTTCCAGAATTTCATAAGCCTCGTTGTACGACTTCACAAGTAAGGCTCCATTCGCTGATGCGTCCACCATGGCTCTAGTCGAAGCATTGAGCCCATTGTAGAAGGTTTCCATTTGAATCCAATAGGGGAGTCCGTGGTATGGACACTTCCTTAATAATTCCTTAAAGCGTTCCCATGATTCACATAGAGCTTCCCCTTCCAACTGCTGAAATGATGTGATATCATTCCTAAGTTTGGCATTTTTGTTCGGAGGGAAATATTTCACCAGAAATTTCTCAGCCAAATCATTCCAATTAGCTACCGAATCTGGTGGCAGAGAATTCAGCCATGCTCTAGCTCGGTCCCTTAGAGAATAAGGAAATAACTTGAGACGAAGAGCCTCTTCTGTCACACCTGGGGCCTTAAATGCTTCACATACTTCAATGAAAAGCCTAAGGTGCATGTGTGGGTCATCGGTTAGCATCCCGCTGAACTGCCCCACGGTTTGGAGCATTTGGAACATGACCGGCTTCAACTCGAACTTAGTTGCCTGGATTTCTGGCCTCACAATGCCTGGATGCAAACCATCGAGCATGGGGATGGCATAATCCCTGATGGCCCTGTCCCTATCCTCTGCCATTACTACCACTTGATTACCTTGATTATTCCCACCTGCTCCGTCAGCCATTTCTTCAATTCCAACTAACCCCTGTTGTTCCCTTCTTCTTGCTCTAAAGGTTCTTTCAATCTCCGGGTCGAAGGGAATCAAATATGCATCCCTTGGTCTATTCATGCAAGAAGGTTACACATGCTTTAACACAACAGGAGCAACTGAGATTAACAGAAGTAATTTTGGATTTAAATGAACAAAAACTGATTTCTATAATAATTTCTATTAACGCCAGTCCCCAGCAACGGCGCCAAACACTTGTTCGCCAAAAACTCTATGCATAAAATGACTCCACGCAAGCGCACGCAATCGAACAAGTAATATAGTAATGAGTAAAGTATCGTCTCCACAGGGACTGAGTTAATGAGGAATTCTATTACAAAAACTAGTTTTATCAATATGATTGAGAATAGTTTGAATGCCAAATTGATATTAATTAAGTGAAAAGAATGTATAAGACCAAAGACTGTAATTTAAATGCAGACAAGAGGTAAAAGTCAACAAGATCTGAGCTTAGAGCTGTGATTTAATGATGGATGAAGGCTAGGATTACTGATTTCCCCTCGGTTGCAACTCTGACCACGATTTGCTATACGATTGCTGTAGCAAAGTTCATCTAGTCAACCTAAAATTCTACATAATCATCTTCCGACAGATTTATGCTTGTAATTCCTTAAACCAAACCAACATATTCCTATGTGTTTTAGTTTACAAACCTGACGTTAACATCAATTTTAATGGGTTGTACAAGATAATAGTATATTCCTATACTATCTCTTACATTATCTAAGCTAGATCTAACTCAACCAACCTTTCCAGAATTAGCTTAAGTTTGTGTTTTCTTACTAAATGATGGCCTGTCACTTAATAGAAAGTAAACAATAAATATGCTTGAATAAACCAGATGAAAATTACATTATCAATCAAAATAGCAAATAGATCTTCATTGCAACTTTGGTTCCATCAATAATCCTAGCTAAGGAATTTAGCTCATGTTTAGTTCAACAAAATCAGAATTAATAACAAATAACAGATCCATAAGGTCTCGGAAAGTAAATACAAAGAGAAGGAGAAAATAGCTAAGCTAGAATCTGAGGTCAAAAACCCCTGTGTATCCGTGCTGTACTATTCTATTATCCAGCTCCAGCATCCAAAATCCCCTGTACTCTCTTCTGTCTCCATTTCCAGCTCATACAGGAATTCTGTGTGCCTCCCCTGATTTCTCTCCTCTTTTCTGGCTCCTTGTACTATACTCTTCTTTTCCTTTATATACTAGGGCATGTTGAGGTGCCCTAGTGACAAGTGTATGCATGAGAGTCATGATTGATGGTCCCCCCTCCTGGTGCTCTTACAACTGTCCCGTCAGTGCTTGGACCACTACCAGCGCTAAAAGATAAACTGCGCCAGCTTGCTAATTTTTGGCTGCTCCTGCTTTTGCTGCGACTTTGCTGCAGCAATGCTATGGCATTGGGGGCATTTCAGCCTTTGTGTTTTCCACCGTGCTTTTCTCACCAACAGCCTACGTCAGCACCTCCTGTGGACATCATGCACTAAGTTCCCAGGGTCAATGCAATAAGTTCAATTGAGGGATAACTTCAAAATATAGCAAGATTTCCCATAAATAACAACTTTCTGCCACACGGAAAAAGATTAATAAATGCTATTCAAAATACTAACACAAAGGCATTTTACCCAAAGAATATAAACAAATATTAAGCCTAAAAGTATGCTAAATAACTCTATTTCTGTGAGTTATCAAGGATCCACAGAAATTCCTTGTGCTGATATAACATGACCAAGGAACTTCACTTCCGTTTGCCAGAAGTCACACTTCTCCTTTTTTGCATACAACTGGTGCTCGTGAAGAGTTTGAAGAACAATTCTCAAATGCTACTCATGTTCTTCCCAAGTCTTTGAGTAAACTAGAATGTCATCGATGAAGACGATCACAAACTGATCTAAGTACGGCCGGAAGACATGGTTCATTAGATCCATAAATGCAGCTGGGGCATTCGTCAGCCCAAAAGGCATGACTAGAAACTCAAAATGCCCATACCAAGTTCTGAAAGAAGTTTTTAAAATGTCTTCCTCATTAATCTTAAGCTAGTGGTATCCTGACCTCAAGTCAATCTTAGAGTAATACTATGATTCACCCAACTTATCGAATAACTCATCGATCCTCGGCAGTGGGTATTTATTCTTCATTGTTACCCTATTCAATTGACGATAGTCAATGCACAATCGAAAAGATCCATCGTGCTTTTTCATAAACAATACCAGCGCACCCCAAGGGGAAGTATTGTTCCTGATATACCATTTTTCTGCTAACTCACCAAGCTGTTTCCTTAATTCTCTCATTTCTGCAGGTGCCATTCAGTAAGGAGGAATAGAAATAGGAGCTGTTCCCAGCATTAAATCAATGCCAAATTTAATTTCTCGATCTGGCGGTAAACCGGGTAACTCATCAGGGAACACATATGCGAACTCATCCACCATAGGAATTTTTGCATTGTCTCCTATTACCTCTGGTTCACCTTCTAAAGCAAGAAGGAAAGAAAAACAAGCCAGGTTCCTTCGTCCCCCAATGCTGTACCTCAACAGTCGTTCTTTTAGGACTGGGTTCATGTCTGCTTGATAAGTGATCATTACTCCAGAATTAGTCATTAGGGTCACTCTCCTATGGTAGTAATCAACAATCGCACTGTATCTTGCTAACCAATCCATTCTGAATACCACGTCAAATAGACTCATCGGAAGGATTATCAAGTCAGCTCTCAATCGCTCACCTCCAATCGTGACTTCAAATGATCTACACACACTAGCTACCTCCACACATCCCAGTGGGGAGTTTAACATCATCAGAATTTCTAAGTTCTCGAACTTCAGTTTCAAGGTTTGAACAAAAGAACTTGATATTAAAATATGGGTAGCACTAGTATCAAACAATACATGTGCTAGAGAATGAGAGATTAGACTCATACCCTCAACCACCATGTTGCTAGCCTGTCCTTCAGAACTACCTCTAGTCAGCGTATAAGCTTGTCCCTGTGCTTTCCCCTTTCCTTTATCACCAATATTAGGTCGTTGAGTCCCTGGCCTATATTGTTGCGGCGGAGGTATTTGCACTGGTCCCGACGCTTGAGGTTGAAACTGTGGATATTGAGGCAGATGGTAGGTTGGCACATGAGGGTATGGCATCGGCATTGGTAGCTGTGGCTGATAAGGCGGCACAAACTGCGGTGGTCTTCCTTGACCGTAAGAAGCCTCACTCCGATTTGGACAGTTCCTTCTAATGTGGCCAACTTGCCCACAATAATGACACTTGGGGCTGTAGGGACCACTTCTATCAGTTCCAGAGGAACTACTATTTCTTCTACCACTCCATTGTAGCCCAAATGAAGCAGAAGGCCCACCAGAAGCAAAAACTTGACTAGCTACTTCCTTGCTTTACTGATAGGCCAAGTTATCTTGTTCCACGCTTGTAGCAGCAGCCACCAGGTCTCAAAAATTTTAGATCCTTAGAGCCGCCAAGGGTCTCCTTACAGAATTCTTAAGACCTTTTTCAAATTTCAGGCATTTCAAATGCTCAGACTCCACCAGAGATGGCGCAAAGCGGGAGAAGTCATTAAACTTAGCCCCATATTCCCTTATCGACATATCACCCTGTTGCAAGGTCATAAACTCCATTGCCTTTTCATCCCTATAGCTCTAGGGGAAGTATTGTTCATTGAAGATAGCTTCAAACTGTTCCCAAGTCATTCCCGCAACATCAAGTCTTCTTCTTACTTACTTCCACTAGTTGCTTGATTGGCCCTTCATCTTATACACGGCAAATTCTATCCAATATTCGTTCGGCACTCCTATAGTGTTCAAGTGTTTAACTATGGAGTCGAACCAGTACTCCACTTCCTGGGGTCCTCCCTCACTATTGAATGTGGGGATAGGTGCACGTCTAAACTTACAGAAGTAACTCTGCTTCCTATCCTCGGCTGGTCACTCATTCTAAGCTCGAGTGGCCACGCCTTGGAAAGCTGCATACATGGCATCCATGAACTCTTGATTCTGTGGTGCCGGCTGGCTAACAGATCTACGACGTGGCGGCATCTTCTTTAACTGAAAAGAATCTAGACTGTTTAGTGGATTCCGGATGTCACACATGTATGTGCAATCCTATGGTTCCTAAACCTAGGGCTTGTTGGGAATGGTGTCCTAGAAACATGAGATGTAATAGGATATTTATTATTTATTTAATAAAAGAGTTTATTCATCATTTTATGTGCATATATTTATGAATATCAAAATGAAAATTTCATGATTATTTATGTAACCTTAAACATTGTATATAAGTGTTATATACCAGAGGATAATGTTTAAGGATAATAATAAAAAACATTGTTCATAATGAATTTAATTAAAATTTGGAATCTTTAAATCAAAACATTATTAATACATGTCATTCCCATTTAGAATGGAATGGTGTTATCTGCACTGTTAATATGGTGAGCTATTGAATGAGTGTATTTCGCATAATGAGATTATGTGGAACAGGGACACAGACACAATATGAATTTCTAATAATTTCCGTTAAGTATAGAAATTCTAATTGAGTCTACCGATGGTCATATATAGAATGATCATAATCCTGAGTTCTTAACAAACTCCTATTTATGGATTTGTGTCTTTTGATTTACTCGGTACGGATTTTGAGACCATTCCTTCTTGAGAAAGAAGTAGATAAATAATTCTCTTGAGTGTTGATTCGGTACTTGGATTAGTAAGAGCGCTCTGGTTCATGAATGTGTTTTATGAATCACTATCCATTAGAGAATGAATGGTACTCAAGGATGAAGATATAATTAGAGAGGTTAACGGATTCTACCTGGCTCTAATGATGAATTATTTATGGAGGATTGATCTATATGCAATGACTATATCAAATGGACACTTCACAGTTTAGAAGTAATTAATGTGTATAATTTCGAGAGTGTAATTCCAAGTTTATAGTGGAGTAACTATTGGAATTAATAGAATTAATTAATTAATTAAAGTGTTTAATTAATTATTAATTTTATTGGAGCTCGGGATTATAGGTCTATTAGTCCCCGCGTTGTCCTTGTAATTCTGCTAGACACAAAGGGCAAAATGGTTTTTTAGAATTACGGAATTCTAAAAATTAAATACTCAAAAATAATTAATTGAGAATTAATTATTATTTAAATAATGTGATTATTTAAATTTAAATTTGAATTATGATCATAATTTAAATTTATCATTTTAAACTTATTTGATAAGTTGTTCAATTTAGAATTCAAATTAATTTAAGTTTGACTTAAATTCGAATTTGAATTTGAATTAAAATTGGACTACAGGATAAATGATGATTTTCTCTTCCTTCCCTATCAGGAATTGGCACCACACACACAGGGATATAAAACCCTAGAGATGGCCGGCCACATTGAGATAAGGTAGAAGAGAATTTTTGTTCCAAATTCAAATAGGAGATAGAGATTGGATTCCTTCTAGAAGTTTGACTTCTACTCTATAAATAGATATGATAAAAATTGCGCGTGACAATTTTTTGACCTAATTTTCTGAGGGGCTGGCCGAAATCCCTAGCAGAGAGAGAAGGAAAATTTTTCCCCCAAAAATTCCACATCGTGCAGGCGTTGGTGTTTGTGGAAATTTGAGTGTTTGATCCAACCCGTTTTGTCTCGAGTGTGCCCACACACACGTCTACGTAGATTCAAGGAATTGACATGGAAGACTTTGGTTTTCTAAACACAAGGCTTTGGAGCAAGGATTGTTCAAGGTCAAATAACTCAAGTTATCATCCAAATCGGCCTCCAGGTATTTTTCCTAATTGAGTTCTTAATAAATAAATTAATATGATTAATTTATTCGTGCATATATTAATATAATCTATAGAGTATCTCAAAAGTTTTGTAAAAATTTTTGTTATACTTGATCCGCCTCCCCCATGATTCCGCATCCGAATTCGATTCGGAAACCAGCAATTGGTATCAGAGCGATATATAGACGATATTAATTTATGCTTCGATTATTTGATAATCAAAATTAATATATTAAATATGTGATATTTAATTATGTATGTATGTGTGGGTAGGCACTTGCATTTATGGATGTTTATATCTAATTCATGTTGATGAATGTATGGATGGTGGATTTGGTCACTAATTATATGGTTCCATGGATCGGTTATATTCATTCATTATAAATTATTTGAAATTTAATTTGGGATTAGAATTATTGTAATTCTAGCATTTGGATAGAATTAGGGTTTTGATTCTGAATAAAAAAGAGGTCTGGAAGATCAAGTTTGAGGCCTTTGAAGATGCCCAGAACAGCCCCAAATCTGCCCAGAAAAATTCCCAGAAATCGCCCAGAAATTAAGCCAGCGCGCGCTCCAACGCGCGGCCAGCACGCGGCCAAGGCGTGCCCCAGCGCGCAGCCAGTGAATGCCCAGAGCGCGCACAGCACACAGATAGTGTGCAGAGAGTCTGCGCAGGAAGATCAAGTTTGAGGCCTTTGAAGATGCCCAGAACAGCCCCAAATCTGCCCAGAAAAATTCCCAGAAATCGCCCAGAAATTAAGCCAGCGCGCGCTCCAACGCGCGGCCAGCACGCGGCCAAGGCGTGCCCCAGCGCGCAGCCAGTGAATGCCCAGAGCGCGCACAGCACACAGATAGTGTGCAGAGAGTCTGCGCAGGCACGCGGCCAGTGCACGCCCAGAGCGCGTGCCCAGTGCGCGGACAGTC